GGCTGGTACAGTTATTGTCCTCTACATAAAGCTTACGTAAAATCACATTTAAATTCACACAGAAAAGTGTCAAATTATTGTAAAATAAACATAAAATCCCAAATTACAAGCAAGTTTCGGGATTGTATAGCTGTGCTCAATAAGATAGACTACCGAAATAATTTGACAAAGTTCACAGAGCATTATCAAAAAGTTCGGCATTCGAAATAGACTTAATCAACCTTTCTGTGTAGCAGGGGCTCCAATGCAAAAAGAAAATGATTTGCAACAAAGAATGTAGAAATCTTTCTTACTTGGACATTGTGAATGATAAGAGTGTCGAGATTACCTTTTTCACTGACTGGATTGAAGATACAGTAAGGATTTAACCAGTGGCGGATTTAGTGGGGAAGGGATGTAATGGGTGTGACTCCCCCCAACATTTCTGTTTCTTTCGGTAAACTTTGCTTCCATTTGGTAAAAAATTATTTTTGGTAGCCAGTAGAAATCAAATAACGCCAAAATTTTTCGTTATTCATCATCTCATCTTCTATATCTTAAAGTAAAAGAACCGATTTTTTGAAAATGGGCGTTTTCAACATTTTCCAGTGACCTGAAGGGTGTGGCATTAAAACCCAATTATCATCTAGCACCCCTCTCCATTCTTGGCACTTTAATCCTCTGCAAATCTATTAGGGAAAAAAACTTGGTTGAGAGGGTAACTCAACTAGTTGACTGTGCAATGGTGTATAGTGGCAGTTGAGGACCTCAAGGTCTGTCCTAAAAGAAAGGCAGCTTTCGTAGAAAAGATACCGACTTAAACCTGTCTCTAGCTAATGTCGATTGATACCAATTTCTCACTAATAGGATTTTCTTCACAAATGTCATATGGATTGAATGCATATCTCTATAATCGTGTTGCTCTGTATTCTAAAGGACGACTCTCTGATAACGGCACTCCTCCAATACCTGTGGAAAACCTTCATGTTGCTAGATTATTTACAGATTATGCTGCTAAACTGAATTTTTGTTCGCCCAATTTTTCATTGCAGCCTCGACTTCGTCGTGGTCTCGTAATAGTTATAGCGGAAATCTGATGAATTAAGGAGGCTGTTGATATTCAATTTTGAAGCAAATGTGAAAATTTTAAGAAATTTCAAAATATACATATTTTGACAGATACACCTTTCATCTTATGTAAAAACTGCATCTTGTTAATGTATAGTCCCCCAAAGTGATTTAATTTGTCACTTGAAATGTCGCAGGTAGAGTTTTTCTTCCTTAGCAACCAATATTTTTCGTTGCTAGGGACGATTTCTTGCTAGTTCACCCCTTCTGGTTTTTCTACTATGATATCTGACTCTAAAGGTCCATTCCGTGCTTTCCAATGAATGATATCCCATAAGGCTCTGCTTGATATCCCGTCGGACACTGGTTTTCAAGCACTTGGCAACATCGAGACGAAGAGTTTATGTTTGAAATTGCCTATTCTATTCTGTAAATTTTTATTCGGAGAGCAAAATGAAGTTCCGTACTATCAAAAGGAAGAAAAGGAGAGGCTTTTTTGGAACAAGACCGCAAGATGCAGCAGTAGCAGATTTAGGAACGGTTGATGGAGCTGCTGATTTAGTCGATGAGCCTAGGCCCGGACCGAGTAATCAAGCAGAGGTCGATGAGACACTAAACAAATCATTTGAAAAGTTGGGTAACTCGTCCTTTAGTGAAATCGAGGAGAGTCATGGCACAATTACAAGGTATAAATCTCTAGAACTTGCATTGAGAACTGAGGAAATGCATCAAGCAAAAGGCTTTAAACTTTTTGATGCGGAATTACTCGAACATTCCATGGCAACTGCATTTTTGTGTAGGAATTGTGAAAACAAGGAGACAAAGATTAAAATTGTTGTGGATGAAACGAAGAGAGAAGGCCTTGCTGAAAGCCTTACCATATTTTGCAAACATTGTGGATTTCAGACAGCAATTCCCACAAGCAAACACGTTAGTACTAAAGGCAGGGGTACATTAGAAGTAAATATACGGTCAGTAATTTCATCGTACCAATGGGGCCGTGCAGGGCTAGAAAAGTTTTGTGGAGGTATGGGCTTACCTCCACCATTGTCAAGCAGATCATACAATCAACAAATAAAGAAACTTGCTTGCAAATCAGTTACAATTGCAGAGAAAGTTATGTCAGAGGCAGCTGAGCAGCTTTTCAAGATAGTTGAAGAGGAAGAGCCAACAAAAATTGAAATGATGCAAGATGGTAAAAAGGTTGCAAAAGTTGCAGTGACAGTTGATGGAACTTGGCAGAAGAGAGGCCACTCATCAAGAGTTGGAGTAGTTTTTGTGATATCTGTCAGGACTGGTCAAGTGCTGGATTATGTCATCAAATCCTTATTTTGCCATGAGTGTAAAAGTCATGAAAAAGATGATAAAGACACAGCTAAGTACAAAAATTGGCATCAAAAGCATGTAGGACATTGTCACATAAATCATGAGGGAGCTTCAGGAAACATGGAAGTGGATGGTGCTGTTGAAATATTTACAAGAAGTATTGAAAAAAGGTTTTTGAAATATACAGAGTTTATTGGAGATGGGGACAGTAGTACTTTTGGAAAAGTAAAGGAGGCATTGCAAGTCAAATATGGGGATGATTATTCAGTTTTAAAGGAAGAATGTGTTGGCCATGTCCAAAAGCGAATTGGTACATCACTCAGGGAATATAAAAGAAGGATGAAGAAAGAAATGCTTCCAGATGGAAAACCTGTCGGGGGTAAAGGTAGATTGACAAAAGCTGCAATTGATAGCATTCAAAACTATTATGGTTTGGCTATCAGAAGAAATGCAGGGAACAAGGATGGTATGAAGAACAGCATAATGGCAATTCAGCACCACATGGTAAAGTCAGAAAAACTTTCTCTTGAGCAGCAGCACCAGTACTGCCCACAGGAAGAAGCAACATGGTGCAAGTATTGGAGAGAGAAGATTTTCGGTGATGGTAAATACAATCAAGAGAGTCGCCTTCCTGCTGTTTTTCATAAAGAGTTGAAACCAATTTTTGACAGATTGTCCCAGGATGAACTATTAAATAGATGTTTAAGGGGCCTTACACAAAACCAAAATGAGAGCCTGAATGGTCAACTTTGGACAAATCGATGCCCTAAGACAAAGTACTGTGGTGTAAAACGAGTGACAATTGCTGTATGTGAAGCTGTATCTGTTTTTAATACAGGTACTGCATGCAAAGCAATGCTGATGCAGAGTCTGGGGGTAACAGACTTGGGTTCTCAAACCCTTAATTTTTTTCGAAAGGAGAACAAAAGAAGA